CACTTTTTTTCAAGTCTCACCGAACGGATTTTTTTCAACAATACGTCAAAAGATAACAAATCGTATCTATTCGAAGACATTACCTCCAAAAAAATTTAAAATTTAAAAATCCCTAATTTTCGAAATTTTTTCAATTTTTTTACTAAAAACTGCCAGAACTTTTTCAAAAATGGACGAATCATTATAGTTTTTTTTTATATAGATGAATGAATCATTAATGAATGTAATCATTACTTATCATTTGATATATTGTTTTCATAAATCTGACCATTTCCCTGCCCAAAGGAAGAGATTTAATATGACCACTTTTTTACAAAAAATTAACTTTTTCAATTTAACTTTTGAATATGTTCTGGAAGGTCTGACACTTTTATATATATCTTAAATTAAAGTTAATGATTACATTAACTTTATTATGGAAAAAAGAAATTTCGGACTTTATTTTGCCTTCATGGTGAAAATGGCTACCGAATGCTATTTTCATGTGAAAATGTTGAATATTATATTTTACATTTTTAACTTTATAATGCTAGAACTTTTTGAAAAGTGTATGGATCAATTCAATTTTATCATGAGAAATACTATTTATATACTTCTCTCATTTGACCTATTTTTTATTTAAATTTGACGATTTCCCTCTATACAAAATGTAGTTCAAACCTTTAAATATGCGTATAGATAGTAGAACTTTATCAACTTAACTTTTGAAAACAGCACAAAAAGTTGAAAAAAAAAGTACATTTTTTCTTCTGGCCAAAGTTCCATGTAGTTTAGTGTATTTATTCATAAGTAACAAACAGTTTTTATTGTAAAGAATTGCGTTAAGCCATTTAAATTTTTATGCGTGTTAAAAGTAACGAGGTATACAACAACTTTATTATTTTTCTAATTCCTCCGTATAAATTACAATATTAAATTATTTAATATCATTTGCATGCTAAATTTAATTACTATGATTATTATTTATTCATATATTATATTTTTAAATTAATGAACCACTAATCTGGATATAATAAAGGAAATAGGAGTTATTGTTGCTTTTGTAATTATACACAAATTTCTTAGAATTAAACATTATCTACAGATTTGCATCGAATCGTTTCTTATTATAGTAATGTTAATCACTGTTAGGTATCATCTATACTTTCCCCGTCCATACTTTGCTTCAACCCTACTGTGCTACCGTTTTTTATACTTATTTTTTTAAAAAAAATATTAAATTGATGATGTTTAATTTTCAATTTTTTTTTTAATCCTGTTGTGGTTTAATAATACATTATATCGTCCAGTAGTTTAGTGACCCTTGTTTTTCTTATTTTACAGCACCATAAAAGTTACAAAATTTTTATTTTGTGGCCCAATTATTCGAATTTTGAAGTGAATCTTTTTTATAGATAGTCCGAAAAATACGATAATCGAGCGTCATGATCGGCCACGGTTGGCTGTAAAGTATATTTTACATTATAATTTAATTTATGAAGTTTCAGTTTATCCGCGCATACTCNATTTTACATTATAATTTAATTTATGAAGTTTTAGTTTATCCGCGCATACTCGTAATACGCAAATGTTTTCTTTTTTATGATATGTGTAACCTTTCAACATAAATAAGAAGTTATCCTAATTTTTATTAAAAAATACAGCATTATGCAATTCCGAACAACAAAAGTTTACAAATGTTATACTGTGTAACTGAATTTTTCTTATATTCTAAAATAATACTAAAAATTTAATTTTCTTTGAAATAGAAAAATTATTTTATTAACGTATTTTCATTAAATTTTGCAAACCTAATTTCTTTAAACACCCTACAACTGATTTTAAAAAATACGTTTAGTAAATTTGAATGTAATAAGATATGATAAAAATTATTTCTTGAAATATATTTTTATATTTTCATTATGTTTTGAGAAAAATTATTAAAAAAACATGAAATTTTAAATACACTATATTTAAGATATTCATATTTTATAGATGAAAAAACTGTAAGAATTTTCAAGATTTTGAATTTTTTGGTTAAAGTTAATAAGACAAGCGATAACAAAAAAGTAAAATCACATAATAATTAGTTTATTAGCCTTTATATATAACTTATTTATTAAATTATTTTTTATTCTTTAGGTTGAAAAACTTGGTATAAATGAGGTTCAATTAATCTCAAATAAATTCAGTAATCTTGATACAGACAACGATTGCTTGATAGATAAGGAACAATTCATTACATTGATTGACTATTATGTTTCTACTGTAAACATAACTATAAATTTATTTAAAAATATTCATAATTATTTACATACAAGATACATTGTCCAGGATTTTTTCTCTCTACCCAAAAATAATAGAGCTCACAGTGATTTTGAAAAAATAACTAATAAAATCATAAAAATATATGCACACGAATTATGACCAAAAATATTCAGTGTTCCTCACAATAATTTTACATATATTTTTATTCTCAATTTTTAATAAATCTCACAACAAGAAAATTATAGTTACGTTAACTTTTCTGAATTAGAACTTAACCAACTTTATACAGTGCATTTTATTAAATATACTACCACTCATTTTTCGTTAAATAATGATTTTTTCATAAAAGAGTATAGAATAAAATTAAATTTTTTAGCTTTGATGCGAAGCTGAGATGGTATTAATTTTACTACGATGTTTTTAGCTTCGATGCGAAGCTGAGAAGGTATTGGTTTTACTATGATGTGTTTTTTNTTTTAGCTTCGATGCGAAGCTGAGAAGGTATTGGTTTTACTATGATGTGTTTTTTTTTTTTGTGTCTGTTACCACTTTTTCTCAGCTCTCACCGAACGGATTTCTTTCAACGATACGTCAAAAGATCACAAATCGTATCTAGTCGAAGACATTACCCTTCAAAATTGAAAAAATTCCCCTCGTTCCCCGTAAATGGGGGAAACCTCCAAAAAAATTATAAATTTAAAAATCGCTAATTTTCGAAATTTTTTAAATTTTTTTTACTAAAAACTGCCGTAACTTTTTCAAAAATGAACATATCAATATAACTTTTTTTTTTATAGATGCGTGATGTCTTTACTTATCATTTGGTATATTTTTTTTGTAAATCTGACTCTTAACCTGCTCACAGGGGAGGATTTAAAATGACAACTTTTTCACATAAAATTTACTTTTTCAACATAACTTTTGAAAATGTTCCGGAAGATCTGACACTTTTATATATATCTTAAATTAAAGCTAAT